CCAGCCCCCACCCTTGGGAACCGGCCCCGCGGCCCGCCCGGGACGCGAGCGCCGCCGCGTGGCGGAGGCCGGCGCCTGAGGCCTCGCTGGGGGCTTCCGCATCCCCCAGCAAGTACGAGCGAGGAAGCGCCCTCCCGCCCACCCCGTCCAGGAAGTTCACTGAGGACGCCGCCAAGGCTCCCTGTTGGCCCACCTGCCCAGCCCCCACCCTTGGGAACCGGCCCCGCGGCCGGCTCAGGGCTCGAACCCTCCCTGACGCCCGCCGGCCACTGGCGGCAGCAGACAGGCCGGTGCAGTGGTTCAGTGCCTCAAGCCCAATTGGGTGGAGCCTCATAGTCCTGCCAAGAGGGATCAAGTGCTGGTAGGGTCTCCCCAGAACACATATCCAGTACCCAGTTTTACCAGCCAGGAGACGTTGAGGACTCCCTCAAGCACCCCAAACTTTTGAGGCTCAGGGCAGTGCCCACCTCCCCGGCCCAGGGCCTTCCGTTCACAGGGGGGACTCCAGCAGGTAACGAGCCCTGGCCAAAGGAAGGGGCCTTCACTTGCACCTAAGTGGGCTCCACCGCATCGGGTCCGGAAGTCCAGAGAAGCTGGTCCTGGGAAACCCGTTCCCAGACACTTCTGCTCTACCTGCTGCCTGCCCTGCGTTCTCCTAGTGCAAAGACAGCTGCAAGTTGGCAAGGGCACACCACCCTGGTCACAAGCACCCCTGCTCCTCACTGGTATAATCACTCACCCCCGCCCCAGGAGCTCTGCTGCAGCGCCACTGAAAGAGGCGCCCTCCGAAGGCAGTAGCAACAGCAACAGCCCCTTGGCAAAAGGACACACTTTATTGAGCCCCCACGCCCTAGTTCTCTTTCTCTTGCACAGTCTTGGTTCCCCGGAGACGCCCAGTCCGGCGGGCAGCAATAAGACCCACTTTGCGGCCAGCAGGGGCATCTCTGCGGATGGTCGAGGGTTTGCCAATGTGCTGGTGGTTGCCACCTCCGAAGGGGTGCTCCACGGGCTGCAGGCACAGAACAGTGGTGTTAATGCGAGATGGCCCAACTTCCCCAAGACAGCTTTTAGGGAAAAGCATGGACCCAAACACATCCCCAGAGGACACACTGCTGAGACCCTCCAGGAAGGGTGGAACCTCCCCACACCTTGAACACCCACTGCCATTTCTGTTGGACTCACGTTCATAGCTACTCCCCGGACGCGTGGCCAGCAATTCCTCTTTGCCTTGTACTTATGATAGGCACGACCAGCCTTCAGAATTGGCTTATCGATGCGGCCACCTCCAGCCACCACACCTATGAGAAAAAGACACCAACCTCAGGGACATGTATCATCCTCCCCCACAGCACAAAACACCCCCTCCGGGCCCTGGTTCACACCCCCATCCTGTCCAACAGTCTCACAGCCACACTCCCAGGGGTCTCAAGTCTCTTGCAAGTCCCTCTAGATGCCACAGGACAGCCCAAGCCAGGCTTCTGTCCACCTCTGGGATGCCTATTTTCTGGGAGAAGACCCTGCTCGCCTTAGTTGGCACTGGGCAGGCCGGTCCCCTCCAACCCACCTGCCCAACAAAATAACTGAGGCCACCCTCAGCCAAATCTGATTATTCTTTGGCCATGCCCTCAAAAGTCTCCCTTGCGTGGGACTCAGCTAAAGGTGCTGCTAAACAAGGTGAGCACAAAACACAGCTGCAAGAGTTATCCTTTCTGCTCTTTAAAAAGGCCACTTGCAGGCCCTCCCACGTGGCGCAGCGGGTTAAAGCACAGCAGTAAGAGACTAAAGCCACTTCAGCGTGAGTTCAATCCCCACCCTGCAGGTGACCCACATGGCACCGCAGACCTCTCCTGACCCACCCGCTCCTCCCCTCAGCAGTGTACTTTGTCGATCTGCCTGTTCTGCTCCCCGCTCTCTTATCGCCCCTGCACCTCTGGTCTGTATCCCAGCACCGTATGCATAAATAAATCAATCTTAAAAAAAAGGGGGGGGGGGCTGTTTGCCAGGTAAATCGAAGGAGCAAGTCACAGGAGTGGGCCCTCCCTGGTGGGGCAGGGAGTTCACAGAGCGCTGTGCAGCCACAGCAGCGCTCGTCCATCCCAGGCAGGGAGCAGACTCACACTGCTGCAGGGCCCTCCTGTCCCAGCCCCGACTGCCTCAGCAGCGCGTCTCAGTGGACCCTTGCGTTCTGCTCCCCACTGTCTGTTGCGTGCTCTTCCCACTCCCCTGCCCCACACCCGCTTCTGGCCTGCGCCTCAGCAGTTCTCAAATGCGTACGTCTTTCACAAAAATCCCAGGTGTCCAGAGCGCAGCAACTACAAATGTGAGCCGGGCAACCCCTGCGCAGTCCCCCCACGCCACCGCCCGGACAGGTGCTGGGCCGTACCCGCGGGGCCCACAGCCTGCACATCGCCTACCACGCACCGACCACAGCTCTGTTGGCGGAGGAGATGACCTTCTTAGAGCCCGAAGGCAACTTCACGCGTGTCTTCTTGGTCTCGGGGTTGTGAGAAATGACGGTGGCATAGTTGCCGGAGGCGCGAGCCAGTTTGCCACGATCCCCAGGCTTCTCTTCCAGGCAGCATACGATGGTGCCCTCTGGCATGGTGCCCACCGGGAGCACATTGCCGATGTTGAGCTGGGCTGCAGGAGGAAGGCGGCGGCGGGCCTAACTGCCATTGCCCGTCAGGTCCCAGCTCCCCCCGGGAGCCCCCCAGGGTCTGGAAGAGCCAGCGCCGGGCCGGCCGCCCCAGCCCGCTGCCAGCCTGGCCGCTCCGCCGCGAGGGCTCACCCTTTTTGCCGCAGTACACGAACTGGCCGGTGTGGATGCCCTCGGCGGCGATAAACAGCTCCGTACGCTTCTTAAACCGGTAAGGGTCCCGGAAAACCACCTTGGCGAGGGGCGCGCCGCGGCCCGGGTCGTGGATGATGTCCTGCGGGCGGAGGCGCGTGAGCGGGCCGGGCCAGGCCGCGCCCCCCGCACCCACACCCAGCGCCCGCCCCGGCCGGCGCCCGCACCTTCACGATGCCCTTGATGTATCCGTGGCGCTCGGCGAAGTCCACGGCGCGAAGGCGCGCGGCGCCCTTGCGGTGCTTCACGTGAGCGCGGAACACGGAGCCGGCGCCCTTCCTCTGCCCGCGGATCACGCGGCCCATGGCGGCGGTCTGAGGGTGAGTCCCGGTCAGCGCCCAGGCACCGCGGCGCCTGGATCCGCGCCCCGCAGGCTCCTCCCTCCAGGCCCCGGTCCCTCCGCGACCCCATCCCCGCTCGTGCGCCCCGTCTGGAATCGACAAAGTTCTCACGGCCCCCAGAACCGAGGATGGCGGCGGATAGCGCTGCGACCCCGCGCACAAACAGCCTACCTGGTGCCAAGCGCAGCGGAAAAAAGAGCGGAGGGGCCCGCGAGCCGCCTTATCTTCCGGGGCGGGGCCGAAGGCGGCGGGGCCTTCCGGCGTGCGACGCGCAGTGCCCTTCGGGACTTGTAGTCCACAGCGGCCCCGCCCCACGCCCAGGGGCCCGCGCAGGCGCCCCGGG